AGCATTCTCATCTCATCCCAGCTAGAATGGGTATTATCAAAAAGAGAAAAATTATTCCAATACTTGTGTCAAGTTGTGGAGAAAGAGGAACTCATACACTGCTGCTCAGGCTGTAATTTAGTGCAGTCCCTACACGGAACGTTATGGAGATTTGTCAAGAGAACTACCCAAGATCCAGCCATCCATTACTATGCAATGCAAGGAAATGAAACCATTGTATCAGAATTTATGGTAGCACTACTCACAACAGCTAAGACACAGAATCAGCCGAAGTAGTCACAAACAGATGAATGATAAAGTGTAGTACCTACACGCCATACAAGATTATTGAGCCCCTTAAAAGAATGAAACTGTCACCTGAAGCAGCAGTGTGGGTGGAATGGGAAGCCAGTATGTTAAGTGAAAAAAAAAAAAGCATGGAAAGACAAACATCACATGTTTTCTTTCATTCCTTTGTGGGAACTAAAAAAGTTGGTCTCACAGAGAGCGGACTGAGACAGTGGTTCCTAGCGAGTGGGAAGGGCCGAGAGAGATGTCAGGTAACAGAGCCAAACCACGTACACGGGAAAAATCATTACCTGTGTTTTATAATGGCACAATAACTACTGTCTATAATTGGGTTATTTCAAAATAAGTAGGGCAAGGTTTCTAATACACAGAATGATACATGTTGAAGATGCATAAATGCCAACTCAATTTGATTATGTATTTCATACTAAGATTTGTTTTCAGTATATCAGATTAAATAAAACATTACTCTGAAGAAGGAAAGACTTCTTTGTACAGTACTCAAACCCAGAAAACTGAGATATAGATTTGTCAAATGCCAAAAGAAACAAAAAGCCACCACTTTCAGATGTCACATCAATTTTGTAATACAAAAAGAAAACAAAAATCCTAGCCCTGAGATCAAAAGCATTGATAGGCTTCCTCAAGTAGAATATCACTGAACGTTACATTATTTAAAATATAGCTACAGGTATTAGATTGGTAAGCATACAGCAGAGGTGAGGCAAAACACGTTTCTTACTTGAATATGGTCATTTTTAAGTAGAGTTTTCAGTTTTTTCAACTCAGGATCATTTGAATTTTCATTTTTTCCAAAATGGAAAAATATAAGCCAGCGATGATGTGCCAAACGATCCTTCAAAGTAAGAAAAAGAAATATCAAAGATGAGGAATTCTAAAGAATCTCGTTTTTATTTCTTCGAAATTAGTTTTGGTACCCTGCCCATTTATTCAAAATACCACGAACCACAGAGCCAGGCACACTGCTGTCGCGCAGTTTCCTGATGAAAGGGAGCAGCAAGGGTGGGAGTCCCTGCGCTAGCAGGGCATGGCGGAGACTGCGCCGAAAAGCGCGCTCCAAACACGGGACGGCTGAAAACTGCGGGCAAGTGCGGGCAGTCGGCTTGCTCGGGCTTAATAGGTAGGATTTGGCAGGAAAACATGCCCCAGGAACAGTAATTAGAATGAAACAGTTCATCCTCTCATCAACTGAATTCCTTCGAGGCAGTTCCTCTACTGCAGTGCTGCTTAGCTCTCAGTGGACAACAGTGTTCTTTTGGCAAGAAAATCAAGTTCCAAATCAGACCCAAAACCACTTTGTGATCCAAATCTTGCCTTTCCGACTCTCAGACTGCGCAGGCTTCCCAGAACTGCAGGCTCTACTTTGAATCACCAACACCAGAATTCCAGCACTTAGAAGTTGACTTAGAACTGACTAATGTTATGTCTGCGAAATGCTACCTTCAACTCAATAGCAATGAATAAAACAAAGGCTGAGTTTAAACTACTAAGAATTTAAAATGCTATCCACATTTACTACTGTTCATTATTGATAAAAATTACCTCTAGTGTTTTTGATGAAAGTAGTTCAAAATCTGGAAGTTTGTTCATTATTTCCAAATATATTTCTTTAGCATCCAATGACTTCAGAAACTAGAAGAAGAGAATCTATTGTAATCTTTTGGATAAACATTCATTTCTTACATTCCTTTACTTTTCACACAGGAACAATTACAAAACCAATTGCTGTTTTTCCAAGATTCAGTATATCATAAGTTGGTAAGTATTAAACATAGTCATAGCTTTTTTTTAAAAGGGTGATATAAAAGAAATTCCATCATTAGGTGTTTTATTAACTGGAATTTTGTGTTAATCCTACAGTAATTTAGTGACTTTTATCTAAGTCAGCAGGAAAAGTCATTATATTCAATTTAATCTAACCACCTTTGACAGAATTCCAATGTTTTGTTTTAGAATTTTTAATAATAGAATATTTGATGATCTAAGATACCTTCTGCCTCATCCATAATAGTGATGAAGAACTTGTAATGGCAAAATTGGAATGGTAACAACTGTTTATTAAGGTGTTCAGAAATGTAACTTTCTCAAACCCAACCATAAAAATCTTATTTTAAACATGCTGTAAAGCCACATCTGTTACTTAAAACACAACTGAAACATGCACACCATGCTTCTAGTAAATCTCCTGAATTTTTATTTTATTGGCAATTAAGAAATCTTATTCATTTGTTTATAGAACCCTTCCTTCTGGCCTAATTCTCCATGAAGCAGCTATTACAATGAAGTGTACAGTAATGGCTACATCAAGAAAATAAATGAGGATAGTTTATCCTTATGGATCATCAACGTTTAACAATTCTGTTACTTGAGGATTTGAAACTGCATTTAAAACACGAAGGGGCTAGCACCATCAAATCCACACCTTAAAGGAACTAGATACGAGAAGAAAATAGGGACAAATGAGTATGCGGGAAGAATTCAAAGTTCATTTTTTAGATTTTTAAAAACTTGCTTTTAAGTTCATTAAAATGTGTAACATACGCTTAAGGATCTATATAAGATAATCTGCTACCAAAATGCAGAAAAAACCCCAGAAATCTCTCATCTTTTCAATTTCACAGCTTATAGTTCTATATTTTATAATTATGAATATTTGAAAAATGTTTATATGTGTAAGTACATACTAAATCTCATTATACAGGATGTCTGTCTTAAGAGTAGTGCTCACTAGTTTCACCTATGAGGATATTGTCTTATTTGCCTGAATTTCAACTTCCAGATGTACTCAGCACAGCACCTCAGCTTTAATATGTGAGTGTTTTCAGGAGGAACGAGGAGTGCTTAATTCACCTCTTCCTTTTAATATGTTCCCAACATCACTTGTAATCATAATCTGTACAGTGTAGAAAATCCTCAGTGTAAACTAGCACATTTCTGGAGGGCAACCTGGCTTTAAAGAAGTACAAAAGATGAACATACAGATACTGTTAAGTACTAAAAGGATAATGTATACCTTAAAAACAATATAAATATGGTGTATGTATTGACAAGGAAGAATTTTACTAACTCTATGATCTCATTTGTCGCTACCTACTTACTGCATCTGTACACCTACTGCATATGTGTATTGTATAGTACACACAGAGCATGTTTATATACACATAGTAGGTACCATAAAGACACACCCAAGAGCTCTTGTAGGAATCTGGCAGATATGAGTGTATAAATCCCACCTAAAAGTTCAATGCAGGAAAGAAAGTGAAGAGGCCTGGCAGCAGTGGAGGTGACTTCTAAAACATTTTGGAGACAGAACCATAGATTTTCCTGATGAACTGGTTGTAGGGTTTAAGACAGGAATCAAGGACATGTCCAGGACATCTGGCCTGAACAGCAAAGGACGGCAATGGGAGACTGAGTGAAGCAGATGTTCAGGCATTCCAGGAGCATGTTTACAGGCATCTGAATGTGAGAGGCTGACAAGTATCACAGAAGAGATGTTGAAGAGGGAGCAGTGTTGCCTGTGCACGTGTACATGCAACATTCCTGGAGTGGAGGAGAAATTTAGGAGGCAGGGACAAACTGAAGAGCTGCGACACAAGGTCACGACTGGGCACACCTGTAAGAAAAGACCTGGAAGAGTGTGTACTAAGGTTTGGTGTGGCTGCCTTTAAACTAAAGCTTTGTCTTTATCAGAGTCCGCTGTATTCTTCTGGGATCCATAGGATTTCCCCAATATCCCATTATTTACCTCAGCTCTATGAGGACTAACTTGAGTCTCATAAACTTAGTAAGATGAATTGTATTGGATTTCCAAACTAAATTTACACTGGCATCCCACAGCCTGTTTTAAAACTTGCAGATTCCTGGGCCCCAGCTGAAACCATGAATGATCTGTATTTTAATAACTATAGGAAATCAATTACATGGAAACTATAAAACAAATGTTCTTTCACTAATCCTAAGAATGTATTCCATACTTCTGTGGCTTAAGAGTCGTGGTTTAAAAATAATCCTTGTGACAGACTTAGTGAAAAATTACTTCTTCTAAATAGGGAAATTTTCCAGTCAAGTGATATAAACCGATTCCTCGCTCTGCTCACCACTTACAAAATGATGTATTTCTTCTGAACGCGTATGTGCACATGTCTGTGTAAAGGAATTTGCTTACCAAAATGCTGCCCTTTTCTTTGTTATTTAACGTGGCTCCAGGAGGAAAGTAAGCTGTAGTACTTGTTGTAATGTCCAGACTCCTACAAAGGTTGTCCTGTGCCGCACAGTCCATCCACCCCACGTTAACAAGACCATCCTAAAGTAGAAAGAAAAAAACGTACTATGCTGTAAACAGAAGAAAACAGGATTTTGCTTTACCTAGCCCCCAACCCCATTTTTCCATTGTAAAATTGTACTTTCTTATTAGTATTCAGTAACTTGAGGTAATAAAATGCAATTTTTCCTTTGATATTAAACATATTCTTATAATTTGTATAATTTTTTGGTTGATTAAAAAATTGTATTTTTAATCTTTTATTTATTTGGTACAGGGTCTTGCTATGCAGCTTGGACTCATAGTGATCCTTCTACTTCAGCCTCCCCAGTACTGGAATTACACGCATGGGCTACCACACCCAGTTTCTGTGGCCAGCACAGCATGTGGTACTGGGGATCAAACCCTAGGCCCTTGCACTTGCTAGGTAGGGACTTAAGACTGCTGGGTTATTTCCCCAGTCCTTTTGTTGATTTCTGAGATAGTGTCTTGCTATAAAATTCAGGCTGGCCTTGAACTCATTTATGTAGCCCAGGCTGAACTCAAACTCACAGCTATCCTCCTGCCTCAGCTTCTCATGTACTGGCATTTACAGGTGTGTGACACCACAATTAGTCTTTTAAAGAATTTGTACAGATTAAAAAAAAAAAACATTTATGCATTTTTACAGGAAGTATGCTGTTTAATAATCAAGCTAAAATCAAACCTGTGCGAGATGTTTGTATCATGTTTTTTCAGATATTCCGTGTCCACTACAATTAAGTTAGTACCTTCCTGGTTTTTACTTATTGGTGGTTAAGCTCTCAATGAGCTCCAAAATCCTATATTGAAAGTACTATTCCTCAGAACCTCAAGTTACTGCCAAACTGTTCTGGACAAAGCAACTTGGTAAACAAACACAGGACGAAGACACATTTAATCAGGATTCTAAATATAATGGAAAGAAGAGGGACATAAGCAATAATGGAAATAGCAGGTAAGAAGCTTCCACGAGTTTGAAAGACACTTAACATATAGATTCTGAAGTCCAGTAAGTGTCAAGGTAGAAGAAATAATTCCACACCTAGGCAAATCGTAACATAATTTCTGAAAATCAAAGTATCTTAAAAGCAGTAAGGATCCAACCTGACCTGGGTGGTGTTATATGGGAACATACACATTCTAAAATTAAGATTTACTTTACAAGAATCGAAGTGTTAAAAAGGGGCTGGGGATTTAGCTCAGCAGTATACTGCCTGCCAAGCAAGCTGGAATCCTGGGTTCAGTCTTCGGGACCAAAAAAAAAAAAAAAAAGTTAAAAATTTACAAAGTAAAAAAGTTACAGAAAACTAAGGTTAAACTTATTGAAGAAAGATTTGTATAGATGCACTGCAGCCTAATCATGAAGACTTCTAGTCACCATCGCGACATCACGTCCTAGCTCTTCCAGAGTGACTTCAGTCCTGTAGCTCCGGTCACACTAAGTGCACTACAGGCATGCTCCTCCCCGCCTTCCGCATCACTCTGCGGTAGTTCTAGGTTTACATACAGACAGCACTGCATGCCACGAGTCTGCTCCTTCAGCACAGTAGCGCTGTAGAGCGTTGTGGCTCAGGAGCTGCCTCCACCTCCCAGGCGAGGCCTGCGCGAGTGGATGGGTTCATGCCCGCATACTGAGGAAACTAAGGATGCTCACGACTACACATGTAAGAGAGTAACAACTGCAAGGAGAAACAGACGAACCTATGTTTATAGCGCAGGGATTTAATATGCCCACCTCAGAAATTATAGATCAAGCAGCACAAAAATAATGCAGACATGAACATGATTAACAAATCTGATCTAACATAAAAACGACACCTGACATACACAGCCCTTTCTAAGCTCACGTATTCGTTCTAGCATTCACAACTCACTCTGGAGCCACACAGGGAGCTTCAGTAAGGTGAAAGAACCAACCTACAACGGAGCACATTCTCCAACCGTAACATGAAATAAACCAAATAAACTAGCAGCTAAGTTTCAAAATGGTAAAAACACTAACATGTAACTAGAAGAATTCACAACAAATGATTTGCAGGACCTTGAAGTGAGTGAGAATGACAACACCACGTGGCAAGAGTGAACACAGCTATTTAGAGAGAAACATAGTTAGGACATATTTATCAGAAAATAAGAAAGTTTAGAAATGTATGTGTTCAAGAAATTAAAAATACTTGGAATCAATTTATAAATGTGCTGCTTCAGATTTTACAAAATAAAGGTTGCTTACCAGCATGCCGCTGAGCCTGAGCCGTGTCTGTGGAGCCAGACAATCTGAGGGGGGAAAACGTTATGAGACTAAGCTTGCACGTGCACGCCTGTCTCCTAAAGAACCATGCTGATTCTGAGGCAATAACGGAGATCTACTGTCAAATACTGACACCCTTCGTAGAAGCTGGATACGGAGGCCAGTCTCCCTTCACGCACACACATGCACGTTCATTCTCTCCTTTGATTTCTCAGGATTTCTTGCTACAGCGTGTGTCTACTTGGGGTCTTTTTCTTATATTTCTATTAACAATCTCTTTTATCCAAGAGACCTCATGATTTGAGAAAAATAAAATGTAACAGATCTATCTGATAAGCATATGTAAGTAAAGGATCCTTAAAAATACCACCTGAAAAGAGGTTCCGCACTACTTCCATAATGGTTCTGTAAATATGTTAGGGTACAATGAGGTCAGATTTGAGAAAATGGAATGGCAGCATCACGGGAGCCTACGGACAATGGTAATGCAGTTTATCTAGGGGAAAAGTAATACAATGTTATAAACGTTAAAATTTTGTTCATGTTGTGGATGGACAGAAATCTAAAGTAGGCTAAAAAGACACAAAATCTCTTGATGAAATTTATGCTCAAAAGCAAACCTTTCTCTTCTTTTCTTTTTTGTATTTTAGGAAAAGATCTACAGCGTGTTCAGGGTCTAGATTGGACTCGGAGTGATCCACCTGTTTACAGCCTCCCAAGAGCTGGGATTACAGGTGCGTCCCCAGCACTGCAGGCCCGGGGACTGAACCCCTGACCCCTGCACCTGCTTGCAGGTGCTTTAATCAAAAGAAAAACCTTTCTAACACTGACCTTCCTACCACAGGGTGGGGAGAGTGGTCAGTTTTAGTTACAATATACTGCTAACAAAGCAGCAGGGAGTGTGAGAGGTAAAGCGTGGAAAAAGACCCACATGAGGATTTAACATATGAAAACGTAATACTAAATTAGGAGATTGAGTAAAACTGGGACCAATTTTTCACCAATCTAATGCAATATGATTTTCATTTTTTAATTTGGTTTGTGAGGTACTGAATTTTCAACATAATTTATGAAGAAGGTCCTAGAAATGAAAATGTCATCTTCATATAGGTACTTTTATAAGACAAACATATACATATTTTATATATATAGAGAAGCAAAGTCCATCTTATTATGGACTCTGGGAGGGATTATACCCATTAACAACTATTATTGCAAACTGCCAAAATACACCTGTGGCTACCAACAGTACAATTAGTACCTTTGCAAGCTGAAGAATTCACTCCCAAAATGTACAAAGGATCCATTAACAAATTAACTGATAACCTTTTGTGTCTAAAATAATAAAGGTAAATACTTATTAAGTAAAAGAATTGCAATCTTGGGATTAAGTTGTAGTTTCAAATCATCAAGTGAGTACTGAAAAGTTAATTTTCAGTAACATACTTAAGACTTTTAACACTTGAAATTTCAGTATCATGGTCTTCATTCTAATAAAATAACAAATAAAATTACCTCCTCCTTTAGAGCAGAAAGTGATCAGCCAGCCAATACCAGCAGCAAAAGCAGTTTGTATGGAGTTAACAAAATTCCCTTAAAAGAAAATAAAGCAAATTTCTGATCACCTGTTATTTAATAATGAAGTTTTCCAAATGACTTTTTTCCCAGTCCCACCCTTTTCCAATTCACTTTGAATATTACAATCAGTTACTTTTCTAAAACTCTTCTTGAGTATGTCAAAATTTCTGCAAGTTTTTCATTGCATGAAATCTATGTTCAGTACGTCCTTTAGAAGAAAACTGCAACTGGCGCGGAGGGCCCTTGTGAGCCTGCAGCCACCCTTCTCTCACTCAAGGCTTCCTGTCCATTTCCATAAAAGATGGTGTTTGGCTTCCTTCAAGGAGTATTTTTCAACTTCTCCTTTTTCCAACAGATTGTTTCACATAATTTATGCTTTTCTACGCTATCTCTATTATAACAGTACTGTACTGTAGTGATTTGCTAGTTCTTCCTCATTCACGTAATGAAGTTACTGATGGCAGGACCGCTGCCCTAGTATGTAACAGTTTCTGACACACAACTTGGTACTTAATAAAAGAGACATCCCTTTAGACAGAAACACAATCATTCCATTTCATGGAGCATAAACAACCAGCCTGAAGTCACTTGATATATTAAAAGCCTAAGTTTGTTTATTTATTTTTAGCGGTACAGGGATTGAACTCAGGACCTTGCACTTGCCAGGCAAGCACTTACTCCACTGAGCTATCTTCCCAGCCCTAAAAGCCTAAGTTTAAAGATGATTCTGAACTTTAAAACTTAACTGGCTAGCAAGAATTTACTTTGTATAAAAACACAATAGGGAAAAAAAGAGTCAAGGTGTATTATGGACAGGTAGAAATTCCCTATGATATGATCACTATATATTTATATATATATCAAAAGCACAAACAAAAGCCCAACACTTAGATTATTAAGTAGCAGCATTTTGAAAGATGCCTTTTAATCTAGTCCCATCTCACCCACTTCCCACATCCTAAATGTAGTTTCTACGTAGAACTAGTTTGTCATATACCTACTACCAGCAGAGAAGCAGAGCAATGACACAGTTCCCTTTTAAGAAGCATGGGAAAATTACTTACAACTGTCAGTATTATGATCTCATGGTTATGCTGCCATCATAAAACTCAAAATACCAAAAACGTATCCTTGAAAATAAAACAAATTAAGAAAACAAAGTCACCTGTTGACAGTTCTGTCACTGAGCTTCTCACATGCTGCATGGCAAAATTCACTAAACTCGCCTTTGATCTGTCTCCGTGGTATTTCACTGCAGCCTATTTTTATAAAAAGGAACACTGTTTACATTTTCAAGACTCACTAAAATGGCAAATACTCTGATTTTCCATTATTTTGAATAATTCAGTAAAATTCTATCCATCAGAAGTATATTTCCAAATGATAACTCTGAGAATCTTGATTTGATAAAATCTATCTTCTGTAGAATACAGTTTAATTCTACTTATAAAACATTTTTGTTTTAGTTTCATCACTGCCAATTGGGAAAAAGATTAGAACTCTATATTCAAAAAGTATCTACAAAATACTTTGCAAACTGCAAAGCACAGTATGTGTATTGAATAAATTATGCTAATTAGCAAACATTTAATATTAAAATACAACAAAGTCAAAGTCATGAGATATAAAGATTCCCAAAATAATCCAGCTGTTTACTATTCCTGGAGGGTACCTAACATAAAACTTGAACTCTACAAATTCTTATGCAGAATTGTTGCTAGTATTCATTTGTTACAAAGTTCCAACCTGAAAAATGCTACTGTTGCCCCTTACCATTCCAGACCTGAAGATGAAGAGGCTTGGGTAACTGCTGACTCCTTTCATTCGGCAAAGCATTCGGTCATCACCACAGTTTACAGCTCCAATTCGAAGTAACCCATCCACTTCTTTAGCAAATTCTCTCCACTATGAGACAGAGAAAGGGCAAAAACTTCTCTGCTAAGATCACTGTCCTTTACATGAACATACTTCAAGTTAGAATTTTTATTGAATAAAATCATCCATAGGTAAAAAGCCCCCAATATATTAAAAACTATGCACAAATAACAGATCAATCAGAAATAAAACTTCAATAATCCAAATGTAGAGAATACGTACAGTGGGGGCTAAATCATGACAGTGTGAACATCCTGGGGAGTAAAAGTTTACAAACCACAGTTCTCCAGAATTAACAGCAGCATCTAAAAGCACATAAACAGAATCACAGATTTGCTGAGGTTAGTGCATGTTTTAGTTTAAAGACTTTTTGTTGAGACCAGAATAGAAAAATTTATTTAGTCATGAATCTTTTACACTGCCTTTATCATTTTCTGTAATTTTTTAATGAAAAGATAACTTTAAATGTCAAATTAGTAACTTAAAAACAAAAACTCTCCTAAGTTCATACTTACAAGAGAAACAACCTTGAATTAAAAAATAAATAGAGGGCTGGTGAGATTGTTCAGTGGACTAAAGTACCTGCTTAGGCAAGCGCAGGGACTGTGGTTCGATCTCTCCCACCACATACAACACCAGCCCTGCCTGTAATCTCAGTGTTGGGGAGGCTGAAAAAGGAGGATCACTACGAGTCTGAGCTGCATAGTGAGACCATGTAACAATCAAATACATTAAAAAATAAATAGAGCTGGGGATATAGCTCAGTGGCACAGGCATGTGCCTAGCAAATGCAAGGTTGTGAGTTCAATTCCCAGTATGTATAAATGATAAAAAGATAGATAAAAGCTATCCAAAAGGGTGGCATGAAGACACAACAGCCAAAATCATGGATGAGTTCACGTGGATGACAGAAATAAAGAGCAACAGTAGAGTGACACTCAGCACTCCCAGGACCTGCAGTGTGGGCCGCGTCGCCTCAGGAGTTCCAAGGAGCCCGCACTGCAGCCCCACAGGAGGCAGATCAGAGCTGCGGAGATTACCTTTAACCTCTGCCCTCAGTGAGGCATTTTCACTGGAAATCCACGCTGACTGAGAAGTATAAAATTATGGCTTTTATCATATGAAACATTAATATATTTGTTAAAATAAAAGATTTGAACACCATATAATGTTAGCCATGGGTGTATTATATATTATTATCTACAAAACAATTTGGTGCAAAATTAAAACAAATTCATTCATTTAAAAAACTTAACATTGTAAGGATGTGCTCTGATATTCAAGAAAAAAGAAAGAGCAAATTTGCTCTGGGTTAAAGGTTTTCAGATACAGAACTTCCATACCAAAATCAGTTATCTAACATGAAACTTCATAAATTATAGGAAAAAGTCAAAGTATGCATATGATGCTCAACAGTACAACTGATTCAGGTTAACTGGGCACACACAGGACTCAATGTGGGTGAACACTGAGTCTCCGGGAGTCAAAGTTCATAAACCACATTTTCCAGAATTAACATCTTAGGCCAGCAACTGGTACTGCTGTGTGGTTAGGTCTTTGTGGAATGAATGCAAACTTTAATAGAAAAAAGGAATTACCTTATACTCAAGATGGCTATTTACATATAAAAAGAGAAAGCGTTGATCAACTGAGGGATTACTGCTCACAGGTCTGACATGAAAAGATGAGGAGAAACAAATCTGAATGGCACGAGCCCGGATCCTGTTTACTGGGACACCGTCTAGTCTTAGTACTTGTTTTCACAGAGTGCTCTAACACCCTTACCCATTTCTGAGTTTTTTCCCCCAGTTCTGATTGCTGAGCAATAAGAACTAGTTTTATTTTATTTTCAATTATTTTAATACTATATTACCACAGCAAGATGAAGTGATCTTGCATAACTCACAGACCCAGAAAAGAATATATTTCAAAATATTCAGCCCTAAATCCCACAACTACAATTAGTATTTGTTAGTATCTGTACAACTATAATTAAGAGCTTCTGTTACACAGAGAAACACAAAAATGCAGAAGTGCTTTGAATTCTTTCTTGAGCCACTTTCCAAAGAATATTGGTATTATGTGACACTATTCATTAAGAACTTGCATATACACATGATGTTCTTTTTTTTGTTTTTACAAATGTTTAATACCTAGAACTTGACTATGACTGATCTGCTACTGGATTATAACACAAAAAGGTTAAGACACATGTAATGGAAAGAATATTTTTAAATCTCTGAAACTAGAATTTATTAATCGTATTCTTCATTTCTGTTCTAAAATTGAACATTTAAAGGTAACTAGTAATGGTTAAAATGAACTGTCAATTTAAACTAATTCTCTAACAACTGGAAAACTGGACAAAATGTAAAAGACCTTTGTTGAAAGCACTAGAGAAGTACGGATGCAGTGAAATTTAGGGGGCGAAGGTGTGGGAAAGGGCAGAAATCAAAGAGCCAACATTTGCCAATCTGAGAAGAGGCAACTGACAAGCTAGAAAATAAGAGATTCCATGTAATTTTCTGGGCTAGAAGGATTAAAGGAGTTCAAGGCACATTTAAGGAAGTGTTCCAGAAACAAAGATGAACTGGAAAGTGATGTGTTCTCCCAAAGTCTCAAAGAGTTTCTGACTCTCTTCACTGTACTGGAATGAAGCTTGAGCCTGCTTGTGACCCTATCCAGAAGAATGCGTAAATCCTTACTGTAAGAAGAGAAATGCATATAAACTTTTACATAATTTTATAATTATTTCTAAAAAATAAGACTAACTCAAGCCAATAGAAATAACTGGCAATAAGACCCATAACCAAGCAGGCTAATGTGGTTTGTACACATATGCACAGCCTGCTTCTACTAATGTGACATCTTCCCTCTGCTTCTCCAACTAAAACTTTAGGATTGTCTTGTCTTAGTCTAGTGCTATAGAAACACAAAGAGTAGAGAGCAGAGGGAATAGTGGCAAATAGGCACTGAACCTATCAATATATATATATATTTTTTGTAGTAGCGGGGACTGAACTCAAGACCTTGCACATGCCAGTCAGGCACTTGTGCCACTGAGCTGTCTCTGTGGCCCTGAACCTATCAATATTAATCAATCATTCTGAATTACCTCTTCTATGTGTTGGCTGTAATTTCCTTAAATCTACCCATGAGAGTTCTGTGTGAAGCATGAGCAGTTGCCAGCCTTTGTTTGCAATGAAACGCCTGGAAAAGGTTGAAACCTCGCTCTCCAGAAGTCAAGTCTCACCTAGGTGAACTCACGGCTTGCTCTGTAGGCTCTGTTCAGTTCCTCTGGTTCTATCTACAGTTCCAACGTGAGGGTATTTTTGACTCTCTTGGTCTATGAGACACATACTAATATATAGATGAATGAGGACAACATTCATTCAAGAAACGCTATGGTTTGTATAATAACATGCCATAAAATTATTATTCCACCAGTTTGTGGTATTAGTTTCGTCTACCAATAATACAAATAAGTCAAAATTTTCTGTTTTTGTAAATAGAACTTGCCCAAGTGTTTCCATTCAAGATTGGTAGCACAGTGATAAAATGACACATACTTTTTAATGCCTGAGCTCAACCATATAAAAATTTAGAAAAAAAGGTAAGCACTGCTTAGAAGAAACAAATGGTATGAAACCAAGCAGTGGCAATGTATCTTCTATCATGACAACACAGAAAAAACAATATACATATTTTTTGCAACTGGTAAGCTATCTTAATTTTCTAAATTAAATGTAATTCTAACAGCAAATAAAACTGGAATTTCATTTAAAATATAACTTACTGGTTTGAAGTACAGAGCAATAAACCTATTTTATCACTGTACCAAGGCTAAAAATTTAAGAATCTAATCCAGTTTTATAATTTTTCTAATATGAAATGGAAAATAAAGGACTGTATTTTTTTTTTTAAAGATTTATTTGTTACAGGGTCTCAGACTCAGTGATCCTCCTGTCTTAAGCCTCTCCAGTATGGGATTATAGGTGTGCGCCAGTGCGCCCAGTTTCAGTGGCTGGCACAGTGTACGGCTGGCCCAGCACGTGGTGCTGAGGATCAAACCTGGGGTCCTTGCACTTGCCAGGCAGGTGCTTAGACCACCAAGCTATCTCCCTGGCCCCAAGAACTGTATTCTTACATCAATTTTCACACAAACCATGGGTCACATTAAGTCTTTTTTCAAAATAACCACACACTTACCCAAAACTCTGGAATAAAAAAGCTCTAAAACTGCAAGTTTTTTTGCAAGTTTGTAGTGTGCTAATTAGACATCCAGACTTGGTCTGAACAGATACGGGGCTATACACTATTCCCTCTTCTTTTACTTGGTGCATAGACTTATGTAATTTCTGCAGAAGTAGTAGTGTTTTTAGTTTGGTATACTGTCTCATAGGCTGCTAGAACAGTTTAATGAAGAGTATATGCCTTTATAAATTCTTCAAAATTTCTAACTTTAGAATATAATTGGATCTAGGAGTAGCAGATAAATTGAACTTGCACTACTTTCAGAAAATCTACATGCTCACAAACTTACCAAATTCTCCTCTTTCCAGTGTTATGATTTCAGGATCATCATCATAAATACCTAATTTAAAAAGTACATCAAATAATTAAAATTGCATACAATGACCTACCACATAAAAAGATCATTCACTCTTAATAAAGAAAACTCATAATAATTCTTAAACCTAAATAATATGCAACAAACTGAGAGAAAAATCAACAGGAAGTAATATTTTTGGTGATACTCGTTTTTGGTGTTTTTTTGAGTCAGGGTCTTGCTATATAGTTCAGGCTAGCTTGGACCTCACTATGTAGCCCAGGCTGGCCTTGAACTCATGGCAATCCTCCTGTCCCAGCCTCCTGGGTGCTGGAGTTACAACAGGCATGCACCACCATGTCCTGCAATAAAAAAAGGAGAATGCTTCAGGAATTTGTGTGCCTTCCCTGTGCCTCTGTACCTCTGCACGGTTCCAATTTTGGTGCATGTGCTGCCAAAGTGAGGGTAGTGATACACTTAGACAGAGATCTAAAGATACCGATTTCCTGAAGTGGCCTGCAAGTTAGCAGGCGGGTGAGCTCCTAATACTCATGTAGTCTTATCTCCACAAAAGCTTTCAATATTAAAGTTATTTAAAAGTAATTATAGACTTACCAGAAGTTGTAAAAATAGCACAGACTCTCGTGAACCTTTACCCAGTGTTCCCTAGCAGTAAATAACATGTTAGCTGTTTATAATACCAATAAATGAAATGTAGCACTTGGGAGGCTGAAAACAGGAGGAGCACTATGAATTTACATAGTGAGACCCTGTAGACCCTTTACTAAATACATAATAAAACTGAGTAAATGGAATGTGTACATTATTTGAACATTTCATGCAGTAATGAGAAATTGTGATTTTAATTAACCTCAATTATAATAACTAAAATTTATAATTGCTAATTATCTACCTCTGTTGTAAGTTTTTGGCAGTTAAAAACATTTTAAAATGATAGATTATTATTTAAAACCCTGTAACCTGAAAATAATCCACTGGATGCAGACCAGAGGTCAGAACACTTTATGTAGAAGCCATTAGTATTTTGGGCTTTGTGGAATGTGTGGTTTTTGTCATAAATACTCCACACTCAGCACAAGAAGCCACAGATGAGTACAACTGTATTCTTATAAATATAAAACTCTCCCTAGAAAGAACTGAGAAATCTTTTACTTGGGCTAGTAGAAAGGGCTTCTTAGCCTGCACATGAGGCCAGTGACTACAGGAACTGCTGGCTATCTGAACATGCCCTGCCTTGATAATCCCATTTACTTTGGCTGTCCAGTGGCTCCTTTATGTGGCCCCTCCCTCCCTCCTGCCTCACTACTTCTTCGTGTCAGCCAGGAGGTGGACAGCATTGCCAATGAAGCAGCCACCATTTAATTTCGAGTTTAGCTTTGCTGGGAAGTCCAAAGTTGACGTTTGAAAGGCTTTAGTATTTAACTTTCTGTTATGCAAGCGTATATATTTTTATTAAGTAGGAATGCTTATTTTAAAAATGTTAAAATTTTAACCAATCTTCATTCATTTCTATACAGTAAATCTCTGTATACCAACTGATTTCCCTTTGAATTCCATTCCCATGACAAATTAAAAGCTAACCAAGGTGACACATTAACTTTTCTTTTACTCAGATAAAAAAACTTCACAAGCAATAAGGCTCCTTACCAAAATCATAGCGATAATAGTTCCAGCTCTCATACTGGCCTCCTTGGTTATCTTCAAGCCCTTTCTCTCCATATTTATCGTACTTTTTGCGTAGATCTTCATCTTTGAGTACCTCATATGCTCTATTTATTTTTAGGAAATCACCATGCGCATTTGGGTTGTTCTGTGAAAACACATTAGGTATAACACATTTCATACACACAATCCAAATCTCTATAAAACCTTTACATGGTCCATAGATAATTTCAGATATGCTGGACACTACAGACACCAAGTGATATGAATTATCTCGGAACGAAATATTTTTAAGGAATTATTAAAAAAAAAAAGTAATAAAAATTCACAATCTCCTCTTCAAAAGGTTGATGAACATGCTCCTATGACTTAAATCACTCCTTAAAAAAATGCAGCTCAGACACTGAAACTCTTGATCTTAAAAATGTTTGTTACTTCTGAAATGGTCAGAATTATAGACTATTTTTAAGCAAATATACTAAAAAAAAGTATGCTCCTCTGCATCAGATAATTAAATGTTAGGGTAATAATTCAAAACTGGTTTAGAAATGTTCCCTTATTGTTTTATAGATTGCTTTACCAAGGATGCTTTCATTTAAACAATTCTTAGATAGAGGTCTACCATTTCCTTATATGGGAACTGAAATTTTAAAATAAAAAACAAAAAATTTTAAATCGAATACAGATCTGAGGGAAAGATAACCAAATGAAGAGTTGCCCCACTGTGCTCCAACTTGTGATCCTCCTGCCGCAGCCTCCAAAGTGCTGGGATTACAGGTGTGTGCCACCGCACTCAGCTGTAACTGAGTTTTAAGGAAATACTATTTTAATTGCTCAGTTTTATATAACTGAAAAAAAATAATTCCACTTAAAAAATTCTTCTTAGAAAAAACTGTAATTTAACCAGGTCTTTTTTAATATTAGAGTAAAATCTCCTTAAGAGGTTTTTTCCCCCACCTTGTAGTCAATTTATTGAAATTCAAAGATAAGAAGGAACTGAAGAAAAAGAAAGGAATAAAAACATATTACACACTAGAAAGTGATTGTCTGATCAGCAGCTGACTTCTCATGAGAAACCATGCAAGACAAAGGAAAGTGACATAATGCTTTCACCATGCTTTTAAATATACCATCAGAGAGAATTTCATATCCAGTGAAAATATCCTACAAGACTGACCACAAATAAAGGTATTTCCAGATCAAAGAAAACAGTGAATTTTTATCTGTTGCTACCAAACCTGCACTACAAAAAATTCTGTAGCAATTCTTCCCCCCAAAATTATATTAAATGGAAACCTTGACCCTCTTACAATTCTAAGGGGAGGACCAAAAATGCTGCAAAAGACAAACATGTCAAAAAATATTTAACAAAAGAAGATACAGAAAGATGATCAACATCACTAATCAACAGAGAAACATAAATTAAAACTGTAACACAGCTACAACTGAGTTTCTTGTTACCCCTCACCAGTACTTTTGTTATTTCTTTAATAAAGCGAATGTCCTCTGGACCTTCCCCAGCAACTTAATCAAGGGTTCCTCTGCTCCCATATATGTTCCCTATCCCCTTAGCTTTCTGACTCCCTCTTCAGTATTCTTCAAAGCCAGCGCTGGCATCTCCACCACTGTCTCAAATCTTCAAGGAAACATCTCAGCATTTCAATGGGACCAATTCCAGGCATTCTTGCCAGAAGGTTAAATTCTGTGCTGTGAAACAAACACTCACACCAAAGAAAGTTTTTCACAGCTCAGAATTTAACCTCCTGGCAAGAATGCCTAGAATTAGTACAAAAGAAAGGGGAATGTGATATGCAGAGAGATAGTGAGGTTAAGCTTAATAGCCTAAGTTGTTTGATAATAACAATAAGCTTGTCTTCTGGATAGTTAACAACCTAAGTTTGCAGACCAAAATTAGAGAAAAAGGAGGG